TACAGTTATGACAATTCATTTCTCTAAAGAAGTTTACTGTTCTCTATAAAAAAAAAAAAAAAAAAAAAAGACTGAAAATAGCAAATGACATTGTCTTATTTGACCTCTTGGACATCCTTGAATGAAACTGCAACTTACTCATGTCAAAATTGAGAACCAAAGTTTTGAACAATATGAACAATATATATAGTTTGTGAATATCTCGTGATCATGAGCCCATGATGATGAAATGGCCTTTCAAGTTTTACTTTGCATTTTTTGCTTTTTCTTGACTTGTCTTACAAAAGCTTAAATTCAAGTTTTATTTCTACAGAAAGCAGGAATATAATTTTTTAATATATTTCTGTCCTGTCTCATGGCATTGAGAACTCTTCAGATCTAGTGTGGACCTAGACTTACTTTTACACGGGAACAATTATGTTTGTTTCTTTTTTGTTGTTGTTGTTGAGACAGTCGTCTTCTGTGATGTGTTTCGGAGTGGATAAGCTCTTAAAGCAGTCATCTTTCCAGTGGTTCCTTCCGTGGGCGGACAAATGGCAGGTGAATTTGGGCCTTGTTAGATGTAGGGCAGAGCACATAGCTACAACTAAGTAAAAGAGCCAGCACCTTCCCCAAGACTATTGGCCAGAGTAACACATTAATATCTCTTGAGCGCTTCTCCACTGGCAGCTGGAAAGTTTTTGCAAGAGTCCCTGTTTCTGGTCTGATTCCTAGGTTTTGCTGAATTCTGGTGATATGGTGTTTTATCCTAAACTGCAGTTTTAAGAGCTAAAGAGAATGTGTTGTGTTACAACAAATTAAGTGCAGTGGTTCCCCCTTAACTGTGGGAGATAAATTCAAAGGCCCTCTGAATGCCTGAAAGCACAAATAGTACTGAATCACTCACTGTTTTTTTTCCCTATACATATCTATGTTAAAGTTTAATTTATAAATTAGGTACAGTAAGAAATTAACAATAACTAAAGGAAAATGGAAAATTATAGTAATATGCTGTAATAAAAATTATTTGAATGTGGTCTCTTAAAATATATGGTATGGTTCTCACCCTTTTTCCTGTGATGATGTGAAGTGATACAATGCCTATGTAATAAGATGAAGTGAGGTATGATGTAGGCATTGTCAAGTAGTGTTAGGTCACTATTCACCCCCTGACTCTAGGTCAGAAAAAAGATTACCAGCTTTGAGTGTTCCTGGACCTTCAGGCCTTAATGATGTCGATGGCTGGATGCAGGCAGAGACCATGTTGATGACTAATGGCTGGACAGCACAAGCAGTGTGAATGCACTGGACAAAGGAATGATTCACAGCCTGGGATGGATAGAGGGCAAGAGCTCAAGATTTTATTGTGCTTCTCAGACTGGTACACTAACACTTATGACTTGTTTATTTCTGGAGTTTTCAATGTAGTATGTTTGGAATACAGTTAACTGTTAGTAGCTGTAACTACATAATTCAAAACTGCAGATGTAAAATCTGTGTTTGGACTTTGACTCATTTCTTGGTGTACAATTCTTAAACTCCTTCAAATTTCCAAAGTGATGTCTTTTGGTATGCTAATGATCAATGGCTGGAAGCTCCTAGGTATATTCAAGATGGGAACTGGTCACCATCATGAAGACATGGCTGATTAGAGGGTTGAGTTCTTCTGTCTCACTCTGCAAACTCTGGGGAGGAGAGAAGGGATAAAGGCTGTCAGTCACCAACAGCCAGTGATTAGTTAGTGATGCCTATGTACTGAAGCTTTCATAAAGACCCAAAGGGACTAGGTTTGGAGAGCTTCCAGATTGCTGAATACATGGAGGTTCCTGGAGGGTGGTGTGTCCTGAGAGAGCATGGAATCTCTGCCGCTAACCCCAGACTTTGCAATATGCATCTGCTCATCTGTACCTTTTGTGATGTCATTCACAGTACGTTGGTGTGTTTCCCTGAGTACTTTGAGCCATTCCAGCAATTCAATTTAACCCTAAGAGGGAGTCCTGGGAACCCCAATTTGAAGCCGATTGGTAGGAAGTTCTGGAGTTTCAGACTTAGGACTGATGTAGGGAGGCAGTCTCATGGGACTGATGAGCCCTTTACCTGTGCAGTCTGATGCTATCTGCAGACAGTGTGAGAACTGAATTAAATGACACCCAGTTTGTCATCTGCAGAAGTGATTGCTTGCTTGTTGGTGGGGAAAACCTCTCCACATATTTGGTCACAGAAGCCTTCTTTGTTGCTTGTTGCAGTGGTGTGAGAACAGAGAAAAACATGGCAAGTGTGTCTTTTCCACACATATAGTGGATAAGGAGTACTAGTTTACTGTTTTAAGTGCACCCCTCATATTTTGGTCCAGAAATCATGCTCTTTGACACTGGTCACTCATTCCATCTGTTCTGCTAACAATACCATTTTTAGCCAATTTCATAGGGTTTGGCTAGGATGACTTATATACTGCAGTTCACTTGTAGATATCAAATTTTGATAAATTTATGCTTTGCGTTTAATAAATAAAAAGGGAAGTAAGAATTCTTACTGCATTAATTATATACCAATAGGTATAATTTATATTAATTCTAATAAGGTCCCAGGTATGCTCTCAAATCAATGATTTGTAACAAAGCATCAGTCCTATACTTTAAAGAAAAATGATCTAAATCATGTACACAACTGTGCATTTTTTTTTTTTTTTTTATGAAGGTAGATTCTTGCTATGTTTCCTAAAGCCTCAAACTTCTGGGTTTCTCAAGTGATCCTCCTTCCTCAGCCTCCCAAATAGTTGAAATTACAGGCATCATCACTGTACTTTCTTATGGTTTTAATTTTCTATACATTATTGATTTAAAATGCATTTTACCTTTTCCTTTAATAGATTCTGGGAGTTCTGATGAATCTGCAGTCAGGTAGGATTTTACAGATTTTAAAAATTATGTTAACTAAGAAAATACAGATGGAAGAAATTAATATCTATTGAGTGTTGTATTCTGGGCTAACCACCCTATTATGTGCTATGTATTTATCTCATAAAGCCATCACAACATCTGTTTTCTTATAACCTGTTTATTAAATAAGCAGCTGTGGTTTAGAGAGGTTAATTGGATCATGATCCCATAGTTCACAAAGTAGCTGACCAAGAGTTTGACCATCAGCCTATCTGGCTTTCAAATCTTTTCTCTTGCTCCTCAGTACAGATTGATAGAGATATCTGTGCAGCACTTTGATTAATGTATAGGTCTGTGTAAGATTAGTCAGATTAATTAATGTCTAAATTAATGAGTTTAAATAAGTTCAACTCTCATTATAGGTTACTGTTAGAAATGAGGTTAGTCACTGAATTTGTCCTAATAAATTTCACAATTTTTGTGGTAACCAGCATCTTTTTATCTTTTTTTTTTTTAAATTAACCATCAAAGTCTTTAAGGCAGAGTTAAGGTTTGGCCATAGAACTGGAAGTTTTACAAAACCAAGATTTGGCAAGTCTCAGAGAGAAATTATTTAACTTCCAGTTTTGTTTTCCCTTTAGACTAGTATTTGCCTACTTCCATAATGCTTTATTATTTTTTTCTTTTTCCATGATTTTTTTTCCTTGGTGTTGCTTTTGTTATGTTTTTAAATTCTGCTGGGTATGTATTCCCAGTTTTCCTATAGACAGAACCAAAAGCACACAGAATTACAGATATTTAAGGAATCTTAGGACTAATTAAAATATCTTCTAGTACTTCCATCTGTGTCATATGTTCTGGTCAAATGATTTTCTAGATAGAGAACTCGAGACTCAAAAGAGATTAGGATGTTTCTTTTTTGGACATAAGACGTGGTAGAAATGAGATTTGAATTTGTTTTAAAGCCCAATACTCTTCCTTCTTTTTTTTATTCTATTGCCATTTGTTGTTGTTGTTTGAGACAGAGTTTCGCTTCTGTTGCCAGACTTAAGTGCAATAGCACAATCTTGGCTCACTGCAACCTTTGCCTCCCGGGTTCAAGCGATTCTTCTGCCTCAGCCTCCTGAGTATCTGGGATTACAGGTATGCACCACCATGCCTGGATAATTTTGTATTTTTAGTAGAGATGGGGTTTCTCCATGTTTGTCAGGCTGGTCTCGAACTCCTGACCTCAGGTGATCTGCCCGCCTCGGCCTCCCAAAGTGCTGGGCTTACAGGTGTGAGCCACCACACCTGGCCTGGCATGTGTTAATAATACAAAGGGGGAGTGGGTCTGGTGCACCCAGTGGTTAGAATGAGAAGGGAATTAGCTGGTGAACCCAATGGAAATGGCTAAGAATGGATAACCAGGGCAAGGCCAAGTTTGAAGAGAAATGACACTGGATATGGATTATTCAATAAGATTAGAATATTGGGGTTTATGACATCTGATAAATTATAAAGATGAAGGACACAAGATATTGGGAATTAACTACAAAGGGACATTAAAACAGAGGGTTCAAGGAAGCTCTAAACAGATTGCTGTGCTCTTTTTAAATCAAGAACTGACGAACTTAAAGATTTTTGCTATAAGATGCTAAAACATTTGGAGACACTAGGAGGAGTCTCTACAGCAGACAGAAATGTTGGTATCATATAATTCCATCCTGACTTACAGAAGGGTGGCTCAGAGCCCCTTCAGTACTGATGGGCTGGAGACTGCTGAACTACATAGATCTGTGGCCTAGGGCAGGTGTCTCCTCATCTCTGCCTCTTTTCTCAATTCACTGATGTCCTTCCCATATCGGTGTAGGTTGTGTCAGGGGCATCATTGGCTGTCAAATCAGTCATGAAGTTCAGCTGGGTAGTTGGAGGTGTGTCTGTGCTGGTAGTAGAGACTTCAGTTAGGTTGTTTTTCAGGAGCAGGGCTATAGAGCGCTCCCTCCCACTCCTGGTCATTTGAGATCATCCTTTCAGGAATCTGTGCTTTCATAGACTGAAGATTTGAAGATCATTGGAAACTGCCATGGAGCCCTTCATAAGTGAAATCTGGAAGTGGGAACCTATAGAAAGATATTTAGGTAGTATTCACGGAAACAGAGGTACAACTGCCAGGACTCTGTTTTTCCAGCAGTCTCTCTCATTGGATATCTGAGTGCCTATGAAGGTTTTTAAGGGCTAGTTTATGTGAACCTGAATAAGGTAGGACCCATAGAGTGAAAATAATTGGATTTTTATAATTATCTGGGAAGAGTATCCTCAATAAGAAAATATACCTTCAAGGCCGGGCGCGGTGGCTCAAGCCTGTAATCCCAGCACTTTGGGAGGCCGAGGCGGGTGGATCACAAGGTCAAGAGATCGAGACCATCCTGGTCAACATGGTGAAACCCCGTCTCTACTAAAAATACAAAACATTAGCTGGGCATGGTGGCGCGTGCCTGTAATCCCAGCTACTCAGGAGGCTGAGGCAGGAGAATTGCCTGAACCCAGGAGGTGGAGGTTGCAGTGAGCCGAGATCGTGCCATTGCACTCCAGCCTGGGTAGCATGAGTGAAACTCCGTCTCAAAAAAAAAAAAAAAAAGAAAATATACCTTCATTATTAGACTTTTGTACATTTAGCTCTCACACATTTCAAATACAGCAGGGGATTCTCTGCACTCTTTTAGGACAAAAGAAAGCACTAGGACCTTCGTGGTTTTCATGCTGAGGAATCAAGACTGCCATTTTCAAGTGACACAGACTAGTCTTTTAACCAGATAGATAATGGACAAGAGACAATGGATCTTTCTACCTTGTTTTAGGTCATAAGGTTCCTACCAGTTTAGGTGACAAAAGTTATGTCATCCATTAACTGAATTTCATGTTCTGCTTCAAGACAGATAACTTGTGAGAGTAAATTATTGTCAAGCTCTGCCAATATATTGGCTGTCACTATTTGTTATGGAGCTCAGTCAGTTTTAACTGAATATTTTATAGATTAAGACAGCTGGAGGCGGAAATAGGTAACCAAAATCTATTTTTAGAACAGAGGTCATATTTTAATTGTGTCAAGAAATGTTATTTGATATACAGATGGCTGATCTTTTCCCAGATTGTGTTTTTGTTTTTTGGAGGGGGAAGCTGAACATGAACTGGGAGTTAAAAAATTTGTAAAAAATCAACAACAAAAAAATCAACTTGCTCATTTTTATTGCATATTTTTGCTCTAAAGCATTTTTCACTAACTGCGTGTGGATTCATGCCCTAAACCAGATGATGAAGACTTGACTTACTACCAAGGTAAAGTGGTCTCTTGTGACATTTTCTCACCAGTCAACTTTTGCTAGTATTTACTTTTAAAATTTAGCAGTGGTTTACCTATTATTGTTTTATGATGTAAGTTATGGAAAGTTGGTCAGAGAAACCCATAGACATATGGCTAGTTGATTTAAAATTTTTTTTAATGTTGGTAACTAACAAAAGATTGATGAGTACTGAGATAGTGTGGGCTGAACAAAAATGAACTGGAAGATACATAGCAACAGAAAAATCACATTAGGAAATGCTTTCCCCAATAGAGAAAATATGAAATTTGGTTAAGGTTTAATTAGATAAATATTAATACTTTGACTTTTAAATCATACTAGTGTGACATCTATATTTTTGCCAGTATAAATCTTCAGTGGATCAAATTACTTGTGGTAATCATGGAATCTCCCTGGCACCTTTTAGTTGAAAAACTGTACAACAAATAGCATATAGCTGTTTTTCTTGGACACTTATTATTTGGGTATTATATATTTGGCAGGAGAGACTGTTCCTCTACTTATGTTATTGGTTCTGTAGTGAGATTAAAATATTAAAAATTGTAGGAAGAACAGCTGGGTGTGGTGATATATACCTATAGTCCCACCTACTTTGGAGTCTGAGGTTGCCTAAGCCCAGGAGTTTGAGAACCACCTGGGCAGTATAATAAGGCTGCATCCAATTTATTTATTTATTTTTAATAATTATACTAAGTTCTGGGGTACATATGCGGAACGTGCAGGTTTGTTACATAGGTATACGCATGCTATGGTGGTTTTGTTGCATCCATCTCCGTCATCTACATTAGGTATTTCTCCTAATGTTATCCCTCCCCAATCCCTCCACCCCCTGCTATCCCTCCCTTACCCCCTTCTCCTCCTGACAGGCCCCAGTGTGTGATGTTCCCCTCCCTGTGTCCCTGTGTTCTCATTGTTCAACACCCACTTATGAGTGAGAACATGTAGTGTTTTGTTTTCTGTTCTTGCATCAGTTTTCTGAGAATGATGGTTTCCAGTTTCATCCATGTCTCTACAAAGGACATGAACTCATCCTTTTTTATGGCTGCATAGTATTCCATGGTATATATGTGCCACATTTTCTTTATCCAGTCTATCATTGATGGGCATTTGGGTTAGTTTTAAGTCTTTGTGATTGTAAACAGTGCCACAATAAACGTGTGTGCATATGTCTTTATAACAGAATGATTTATAATCTTTAGGGTATATACCCAGTAATGGGATACCTGGGTCAAATGGTATTTCTAGTTCTATATCCTTGAGGAATTGCCACACTATCTTCCACAGTGGCTGAATTAATTTACACTCCTGCCAACAATGTGTAAATATGTTCCTATTTCTCCACATCCCCTCCAGCATCTGTTGTCTCCTGATTTTTTAATAATTGCCATCCTAACTGGCATGAGATGGTATCTCGATGTGATTTTGATTTGCATTTCTCTAATGACCAGTTAATGATGAGCTTTTTTTCATGTTTGTTGGCTGCATAAACATCTTTTGAGAAGCGTCTGTTCATATCCTTTGCCCACTTTTTGATGGGGTTGTTTTTTCTTGTAAATTTGTTTAATTTCTTTATACATTCTGGATATTAGCCCTTTGTCAGATGGGTAGATTGCAAAAATATTTTCCCATTCTGTTGGCTGCCAGTTCACTCTAATGATTGTTTCTTTTGCTGTGAAGAAGCTCTTTTTTTTTTTTTTTTTTTTTTGGAGACGGAGTTTCACTCTTGTTACCCAGGCTGGAGTGCAATGGCCCAGTCTCGGCTCACCGCAACCTCTGCCTCCTGGGTTCAGGCAATTCTCCTGCCTCAGCCTCCTGAGTAGCTGGGACTACAGGCACACGCCACCATGCCCAGCTAATTTTTTGTAGTTTTAGTAGAGACGGGGTTTCACCATGTTGACCAGGATGGTCTCGATCTCTTGACCTCGTGATCCACCCGCCTCGGCCTCCCAAAGTGCTGGGATTACAGGCTTGAGCCACCGCGCCCAGCCCAGAAGCTCTTAAGTTTAATTAGATCCCACTTGTCTATTTTGGCTTTTGTTGCTAGGTCTTATGTTTAAATCTTTAATACATCTGGAGTTAATTTGTGTATAAGGTGTAAGGAAGGGATGCAGTTTCAGCTTTCTGCAGATGGCTAGCCAGTTTTCCCAACACCACTTATTAAATAGGGAATCCTTTCCTGGTTGCTTGTTTTTGTCAGGTTTGTCAAAAATCAGATAGTTGTAGATGTGTGGCATTACTTCTGAGGCCTCTCTTCTATTCCATTGGTCTATATCTCTGTTTTGGTATCAGAACTATGCTGTTTTGATTACTGTAGCCTTGTGGTATAGTTTGAAGTCAGATAGCATGATACCTCCAGCTTTTTGTTGTTGTTGTTTTGCTTAGGATTGTCTTGGCTATGCGGGCTCTCTTTTGGTTATATATGAAGTTTAAGGTAGTTTTTTCCAATTTTGTGAAGAAAGTCAATGGTAGCTTGATGGGGTAGCATAGAATGTATAAATTATTTTGGGCAGTACGGCCATTTTCACAATATTGATTCTTCCTAACCATGAGCACGGAATGTTTTTCCATCTGTTTGTTTCCTCGAGCAATGGTTTGTAATTCTCCTTCAAGAAGTCCTTTCATCCCTTGTTAGATGTATTCCTATTTTACTCTCTTTATAGCAATTATGAATGGGAGTTCACTCATGATTTGGCTGTTATTGGCATGCAGGAATGCTTGTGACTTTTGCACATTGATTGTGTATTCTAAGACTTTGCTGAATGTGCTTATCAGCTTAAGGAGATTTTGGGTTGAGATGATGGGGTCTTCTAAATATACAATCATGTCATCTGCAAATAAAAACAATTTGATTTTCTCTTTTCCTAGTTGAATACCCTTTATTTCTTTTTCTTGCCTGATTTCCCAGACCAGAACTTCCAATACTATGTTGAGTAGGAGTGGTGAGAGAGGGCATCCTTGTCTTGTGCCAGTTTTCAAAGGGAATGCTTCCAGTTTTTGCCCATAAACTGTTTCTGTCTGTGGGTTTGTCAAAAATAGCTCTTATTTTGAGATACGTTCCATGAATACCTCGTTTCTTCAGAGTTTTTATCATAAAGGTCTGTTGAATTTTGTCGAAGGCGCTCTCTGCATCTATTGAGATAATCATGTAGTTTTTGTCTTGGTTCTGTTTATGTTTACAAATTTGCATATGTTGAGCCAGCCTTGCATTTTGAGGATGAAGCTGATTTGATCATGATGGAGCTTCTAGATGTGCTGCTGGATTCAGTTTGCCAGTATTTTATTGAGGATTTTCCCATTAAGGTTCATCATGGATATAGGCCCAAAATTTTTTTTAAGTTGTGTCTCTGCCAAGTTTTGGTATCAGAATGACATTGGTCTCATAAAATGAGTTAGTTAGGTAGGATTCCCTCTTTTGTATTGTTTTGAATAGTTTCAGAAGGAATGGTACCAGCTCCTCTTTTTATCTATGGTAAAATTCGGCTGTGAACCTGTCTGGTCCTGAACTTTTGTTTGGTAGGCTATTAATTGCTGCCTCAATTTCAAACCTCATTATTGGTCTATTCAGGGATTTAACTTCCTCCTGGTTTAGTCTTAGGGAGTGTACATGTCCAGGAATTTATCCATGTCATCTAGATTTACTGGTTTATTTGCAAGAGGTGTTTGTAGTAATATCTGATGGTAGTTTGTATTTCTGTGGGATCAGTGGTGATATCCCCCCCTTTTTTTTTTTCGAGATGATGGAGTTTCGCTCTTGTTACCCAGGCTGGAGTGCAATGGCCCGATCTCGGCTCACTGCAACCTCCGCCTCCTGGGTTCAGGCAATTCTCCTGCCCCAGCCTCCTGAGTAGCTGGGATTACAGGCACGCGCCACCATGCCCAGCTAATTTTTTATAGTTTTATAGAGACGGGGTTTCACCATGTTGACCAGGATGGTCTTGATCTCTTGACCTCGTGATCCACCCGCCTCGGCCTCCCAAAGTGCTGGGATTACAGGCTTGAGCCACCGTGCCCGGCCCCTTTATTACTTTTTATTGCATCTATTTGTCTCTTTCTATTAGTCTGCCTAGTGGTCTATTTTGTTGATCTTTTCAAAAAACCACCTCCTGGATTCACTGATTTCTTTGAAGGGTTTTTTCTGTCTCTATCTATCTCCTTCAGTTCTGCTCTGAACTTAGTTATTTCTTGTCTTCTGCTAACTTTTAAATTTGTTTGATTTTGCTCCTCTAGTTCTTTTAACAATAGAGCAGATTTAAAAGAAAGTGACGCAGCCTCACTCCCCCGCTTTTCATGGGTTTTTTTTTTTTTTTGCTTTTCTTTATCTGTATGCTTATTTTTTACCTACTTTAAAAATTCCATTCCCTATTTTTTAAAAAAAACGTAATCACATTTATTTTTAAAAATAAACATTGGAGGGCCGGGCGTGGTGGCTCAACCCTGTAATCCCAGCACTTTGGGAGGCCGAGGTGGGTGGATCACGAGGTCAAGAGATCGAGACCATCCTGGTCAACATGGTGAAACCCCGTCTCTACTGAAAATACAAAAAATTAGCTGGGCATGGTGGCGCGTGCCTGTAATCCCAGCTACTCAGGAGGCTGAGGCAGGAGAATTGCCTGAACCCAGGAGGCGGAGGTTGTGGTGAGCCGAGATCGTGCCATTGCACTCCAGCCTGGGTAACGAGTGAAACTCCGTCTCAAAAAATAAATAAATAAATAAACATTGGATCACCAACATGATCTTTTAAACAAATAAATAAAACAGGAGCTCAAAACCCACTCTCCTTGTTACAGAGAGAGGCTACCAACTGTTGGGTCCTAGCCTGCTTTCAGGACCTAACTGAGACTTTCTCATAATCCTAAGGACTAAATGAGAAATGAAAAACAAGCCAGGTGCAATGGCTTACACCTGTAATCCCAGCATTTTGGGAGGCCGAGGAGGGAAGATGAGCCCAGGAGTTCAAGACTAGCCTGGCCAACATGGTGAAATCCTGTCTCTACTAAAAAGACAAAAATTAGCTGGGCATGGTAGCCAGTGTCTATAATCCAAGCTACATGGGAGGCTGAGACAGGAAAATTGTTTGAACCTGGGAGGCAGAGGTTGTAGTGAGCCAAGATCGCACCACTGCACTCCAGACTTGGTGACAGAGTGAAACTCTATCTCAAAAAAGAAATAAAAAATAAACATTCATCTGTCATTGAATATGTCTGCACACAACCTGAAACCATTTCAGGCACAACTGAACCCCACATTGCAAAAAGCCCTGATTTAAAGCATTCGGGTCACCTACAGCTAATGAGAGCCCCTAAGCTGCTCAAATCGATGTGGCAGTCAGTAGAGCAGAGACTACAAGCACCAACCTAGGAGTCTGCTAGGGTTCAAATCTCAGTTCTGCCGCTTACCAGCAGTGACCTTGGGTAAGTCACTAAACCTCTCTGGCCTCAGTTTCTGGTGCAGTAAATAGTACCTTTACAAGTGTATTGTAGACAAGGCACTTTGCATAGTGGGCATTCTGTAAGCTGCAGCCACCATCATCACTGAAGGAGCAAATCTCACCTGCCCTGTCTGTGCCTTCTCAGCCTCCATCAGCTTCCAAGTCTCCTCCTTCTTGGCTTCGGCTTTCTGCAGCTCTGCGGTGCTGCTGTGGTGCCTGCTGATGTCCCCACTATAGGAGGAGGAACTGCTGAGCTGTCTGGAGAAGTAAAGCACAGGGATGTCAACAACACAGGCGTACATGTAAACATATATATGAACATGTGCAAACACCTGCACCCCCTCCCCTGCCATCTCATTCCCCAGGGTTATACGTCCCCAGAGAAAGGGAATGTCTCAGGCAGGAATGAGGCCTGTGGAGAACACAATCTGTGATGATCTCTGGGGGTCTGCAAAAAGCCCATGACCACAGATATGCAAAAAGTGCGTGCTTTTTTTTTTTTTTTTTAAGATCAATTCTAACTGATCTCAAATAAAAGATAAAACAGAAAGGGCACGTTTAGATCATCTTTCAAACATGAAAAAGTTTCAAAATATGAAACATGATGAAGAAATAGGGCAAAGTACCTAGTTCATTCAAGTTTCTTGTTTTACAAAGGTGGTGGGGGTTGAGGTGGGATCTTGCCCTGGCTGCTCCTTCATGCAAGCATATTCCTCAGAAAGCACTTTTTGGCTGGTGCAGTGGCTCACACCTGTAAATCTAGCACTTTGGGAGGCCAAGAAGGGCAGATCACTGGTGGCCAGGAGTTCAAGAACAGCCCGGCAAACATGGTGAAACCCCATCTCTACTAAAAATACAAAAATTAGGCAGGCAAGGTGGCAGCCACCTGTAGTCCCAACTACTAGGGAGGCTGAGGCAGAAAAATCGCTTGAATCCAGGAGGTAGAAGTTGCAGTGAGCCATGATTTTGTCACTGCACTCCAGCCTCAGCGACAGAGACCGTCTCAAAAGAAAAAAAAGAAAGGACTTTCTGTACATCGGTGGTCATTATCTTTATGCAGACCCCAGAGAACATCACAGACTGCGTTGCCCACAGTTTTGTGTTCAGTGGCACAAAAAAAGTTTTGTGTTGAGTTGGTGCCACTGAACACTGAACTGCAGCCTAAGCAACGGAGGGATACTCCATCTCAAAAAAAAAAAAAAAGAAAATTATGGAGGCCATGCAAAACACAGATGTGGTTCTTTGCCATGGAACTTTCTATGCCTTCCTCTACCTACTTATCTACTGAACAAGATTACAAACTACCTGAGGTTAAGAGCCCCATGTGATTCATCACTGTACCCCCAAAACTGTGTCCTGAAAACACTTCCTGAAAACCAAATGAACCTCCAGCACCTCCCCTCTTTGATCTAGGGCCTAGGGGTGGGTAACCTTTCCTTGCCCATGAGATCTGTGCAAAGGTCTTTGGTTAAGGCCAAGTAAGGTGGAAGTGGCCTTCAAATCCAAAAGCAAGTGTGGGTTTTCAGGGAGCAGCAAAGGAAAGAATCAGAACCAACTCTGGATGAAATCTAGAATTCAGGTGGGCAGCTGGGGCTTCCTGCTTCATGACCTAGGGCTTCACAAATCCAAGCTAGCACTTCGGACGAAAATCTTACATCCTTCTGCACTCATGCACTGTCTGGAATCTCCCACTAGAATGCAAGCTGTATAAGATGATAACAATGGCAAAAGTGACATGTACCAAGGCACAGTGCTAGGCCACATTGTCTTTGCTCTCTTCTGACCCCTATAGCAACTGCAGGTCCACCATCCTTTCTCAAATCCCCAAGGTCTGGTATGTTTAGGCTCTTTGTCAATGTCTGTTGTTGTTCTTTTGCTGTTTTTTGCTTTTGTTTTTTGAGATGGAGTCTCACTCTGCTGTCCAGGCTCGAGTGCCATGGTGCAATCTCAGCTCATTGCAACCTCTGCTTCCTGGGTTCAAATGATTCTCATGCCTCAGCCTTCTGAGTAGCTAGAATTTACAGGCACCTGCCACCATGCCTGGCTAATTTTTCTATCTTTAGTAGAGACAGGGTTTCACCATGTTGGCCAGACTGGTCTTGAACTCCTGTCCTCAGGTGATCCACCCACCTCAGCCTCCGAAAGTGCTGGGATTACAGGTGTGAGCCACCATGCCCAGCCAACTTGGCCAGTTTTTAAAATCTAGCATGGTTAACATACTGCACATGCTATAAATCCCCAGGGATCTAAGGAAGTCCTCTATAATCAAACACAAGGATACTTGCCACCTCCACCCACTTACTTCTGTAGTTGCTTCCCCGCACTGTCTGTCACCAGCATGCCATTCTCCATTTGCTTTGCTTCCTTCCCTGGACCGCTGATGCCCGTGACCCCTGGCAAAAAGAGACAAAGGAGGAGAGGGGAGTTATATGAGTCAGATGCTAAAACCAAGGGCAAGAAAAACTGGCCACTTCAGGGAGGAGATGGCAGAGCACCAGACAGCCAGGATGCTCAGAAAGTAGACCTGCTCTGCAGAGGCCATAAACAGGCTGTCTGGTTGAGAGGCAGGTGGTACTGGAGTTCAGTCCCTTGGGGCAGGAACAGTGCTTTGCAGCTGTGCAGAGAGCTCCATCCACTGAGGGCACTGGGCCCGAGCCAGCATCCCGTACCAGCAGCGATGGGTAAAACCCAGCCCAGATAACAGTATCTCTGCTGTGTTAAGCACACTTTCCCAGGACCAGTATGCAAGGAACTGCAAGAGGGAAAGGGCATAGCCCCCTGGTTCCCAAGCACTGCAAGAAGAGATGATATTCAAAATAGATAACCAGTCTGACAAGGGCATCATCCAACAGGCAGAGGCCCAGGGACCCCTTTAGTGCCCAGATCACAGAGAGCCCCGGACAGTTCATTGTAAAAGGTACCTGGGGCACTGGCTGTTTCCACAGTAATAAGGAAGTATTTCAACAATTGGGAAACCTAGTTCTGCCAACAACCAGGTGAGCTTCAAAGTGGGCCCTTCCCCAGTTGAGTCTTCAGATGAGACCCCAGCCCTGGCAGATGCCTTAGCTGCAGACTTAGGGAAGGACCCTGATAAGAACACCAAGGGACAGGACAGCTGGGTATCTGCCCCAATCCCAGGAAGAATCCACCCAGCATCAATAATAATCACCAAAACATCAACAATGACAATGACAGTCAACATTTATCAAGGGTGCTTGAGCACTGTGCTGTGTTGAAACAGATCATATCTCTTTCCTGGTTCACAATACCTCAGTGATGATGATGATTACAGTCCCCACTCTGAACTGGCTGCCTCATTCTTTGCTGCCAGGAGAGAAAGCAGCACAATGTAACACAAGAAAGGACTGACCCGAAAAAAGGTGGGAGAGGACCCAGGACGGAAGATACAAAAGGGATAAATATGCAGCAGGCAGCATGGTCAGGGTGACTGTGGGAACATGCTCAGGTGACACAAATAAAAGCAGAACTTGAAAATGCAGGGTCTCACAGAAACAGCCACAGGGAGACACAGACATGCCTGGAAGGGACGTGGGCACTGCAGATCATTCCTGGACTCAGGAAGGCACTCTGCACCAGGGATTCTCAATTTTGGTTGCAAGTGAATCACAGGGGCCTTTATAAACCAGCAGGTGGCAGTCAGGCACGGTGGCTCACATCTGTAATCCCAGCACTTTCTTTTTTTTTTTTTTTTTTTTTTTGAGACGGAGTTTCGCTCTTGTTACCCAGGCTGGAGTGCAATGGCGCGATCTCGGCTCACCGCAACCTCCGCCTCCTGGGCTCAAGCAATCCTCCTGCTTTAGCTTACCGAGTAGCTGGGACTGCAGATGCACTGCTGCCATGACTGGCTTCCTTCATTTGTGTTCATGATACATGCTTGTCTGGCATGTGGATGTGCCCTGCTGGAATTACCTTTCTCCCATTCACTGCAAAAACAGGTTGTTCCCTGTATTTTACTATCATGATCCATGCTACACTGAGTGTTCTGGTGCCTGTCCTGGGGTACAGTGACAGGTCTATTGCTGCCTAGCTGGCTTTGAAAAATTTAAAGACAACAGTGCAGGCTGGACACAGTGGCTCACACCTGTAATCCCAGCACTGTGGAAGGCAGAGGCAAGGGTGCATCACCTGAGGTCAGGAGTTGGAGACGAACCTGACCAAAATGATGAACCTTGTCTCTTCAAAAACACAAAATTAGCCGGGTGTGGTGGCTCATGTCTGTAATCGGAGGATGAGGCAGGAGAATCACTAGAACCCAGGAGGCGGAGGTTGCAGTGAGCTGAGATCACGCCATTGCACTACAGCCTGGGCAACAAGAGCGAAACTCCATCTCAAAAAAAAAAAAAAGACAGTGCAATTTACCATTTTGCAAAGCTGGACCCATATCAGGAGACCATATAGAGATAAGACTATGGAAATTCCCTTTTAAGCACAGTTAAAAACATTTAATGGTGAAGGATGACTTCAAATGATGTACCATGTCTTTTCTGTCTTTTTATTATTAACTGTGTCATTCTTTTTGTAATGTTGTGCTCATTACAACTATTCAAATTTTTCTGTGAAGCAGCATTAAACATTTTTATAAATATGAAACTTATCTGTTAAACTACCACCTGCTCTATGTTAGCTGAGTTGCAGGTGGAATGTTTAAGGAAGTTCTAGCCTTTTCAGCATTTGTAAAAGCGTGCTCATGCTGACACTGAATTTTCTTTTTTTTTCTTTTGAGACGGAGTTTCGCTCTTGTTATCCAGGCTGGAGTGCAATGGCCCGATCTCGGCTCACCGCAACCTCCACCTCCTGGGTTCACGCAATTCTCCTGCCTCAGCCTCCTGAGTAGCTGGGGTTACAGGCACGCACCACCACGCCCAGCTAATTTTTTGTAGTTTTAGTAGAGACGGGGTTTCACCATGTTGACCAGGATGGTCTCGATCTCTTGACCTCGTGATCCACCCGCCTCGGCCTCCCAAAGTGCTGGGATTACAGGCGTAAGCCACCGCGCCCGGCCGACACTAAATTTTCTTAGTCTTACCTTAAATCTCTCAGAGTCTGGACCTGCAGGAGACATGGTGTTCAAATTCAAGCCTACATCAGAATCACCTGGATAGCTTAATATATTTGGTTGGTTGGTTGACTGAGATGGAGTCTCACTCGTTTCCCAGGTTGGAGTACTGTAGCGTGATCTTGGCTCACTGCATCCTCCACCTCCGGGGTTCAAGCGATTTTTCCACCTTAGCCTTTGAGTAGCTGGGATTACAGGCATGCAACACCACACCCAGCTAATTTAAAATATATTTTTAGTAGAGATGGTGTTTCACCATATTGGCCAGGCTGGTGTCAAACTCCTTGCCTCGGCCTCCCAAAGTGCTGGGATTACAGGCATGAGCCACTGTATTGGCCGATAGCTTGTTACTACAAAACACAGCTTTCTGGGCCCCACTCAGATTTTCAGTTTAGTAGGTCTAGGTGTGCCTGAGTATCGGCATTTCTAACACACCCCCAGGTACTGCTGCTGGTGATTTTCAGGTTGACATGTAGAGACACACTGGGGTTGATCCTCACTGCTCAAAGTATGGTCCGTGGACCAGCAGCCATGGCATCACCTGGTTCTTATTAACAGCGCAGAATTTTAGGCCTCAGCCCAGATCAACTGAAACAATTTGAATTGTAACTAGTTCTCTAGGTGGTGTGTATAGACATTAAAGTTCAAGAGACACTGGAAGAAAGTAGAGGTAAGAAACTTTTCCTGGAAACTTTCAGCATTCCAGGCCATATGGTCATTGTCACAAATACCTGTCTCTTCCTGCGTAGTGGAAAAGCAGACTTAGCTAATACAGAAATCGATGGGTGTGACTTTGTTCCTGTAAAAATGCATTTAGAAGCACTAAAATTTAAATTTTACAGAATTAGCATCTGTAATGTAATACTGTTTTTTTTTTTTTCACCGTTAAAAATATGAAATCTGGCTGGGCGCTGTGACTCATACCTGTAATCTCAGCACTTTGAGAGGTGGACTCGGACGGGATGCTTCAGGCTAGGAGTTTGAGACCAGCCTGGCCAACATGGTAAAACCTGGTTTGTACTAAAAATAAAAAAATTGGCCGGGCACGGTGGCTCAAGCCTGTAATCCCAGCACTTTGGGAGGCCGAGGCAGGCGGATCACAAGGTCAAGAGATCAAGACCATCCTGGCCAACACAGTGAAACCCCATCTCTACTAAAAATACAAAAAATTAGCTGGGCGTGATGGCATGCGCCTGTAGTCCCAGCTACTCGGGAGGCTGAGGCAGGAGAATTACTTGAACCCAGGAGGCAGAGGTTGCTGTGAGCCAAGATTATGCCACTGCACTCCAGCCTGGGGGAGAGTGAGACTCCGTAACAAAAAAAAAAAAAAAAGCCGGGCACAGTGGCT